GCTCCAGCTGCTGCCACAGTAGCAGCGGCCAGAGTCCTGGGCCCCTTTAATTTGCCGCCAGAGTGCGGCACCGTGCGCTCTGTGGCACCACCTGCTCCACAGGGCTGTGAAGGGTGGGGGGAGGGGCTGGCACCGCAGTCCAGGCGACGCTGAGGGCTGGCTGCCCTGGCCCTGCTCCTTCCGCCTGAGGCCCCGCCCCCTCTGGGGCTGCTGCCACAGTAGCAGCGGCCAGAGTCCTGGGCCCCTTTAATTTGCCGCCAGAGTGCGGCACCGTGCGCTCTGTGGCACCACCTGCTCCACAGGGCTGTGAAGGGTGGGGGGAGGGGCTGGCACCGCAGTCCAGGCGACGCTGAGGGCTGGCTGCCCTGGCCCTGCTCCTTCCGCCTGAGGCCCCGCCCCCTCTGGGGGCCCAGAGCCAGCCCCCCCCACACCTTGCCCTGGGGCCCACTGTGGCTGTCGGCCCCACTGCCTCATGGTGGCTGCTCAGCGCCAATGCAAACCTCTCGTACTCAGCAGAAAGGCCCAGCGGCCGGCACTCACTTTTGGCTTTCTCATTCTTGCGCGATGGTCTCCAGCGAATACACGACTTGTGCTCATCGAGGTAATAGAACCGGACTAGCCCTTTGGAACTGCCGCGGAGTTTGATCATCTGGGTGCCAGCTTGCATGGAGCTCATACATCTTTCCACTGCAGAGAGAAATGAAAGGCAGCCACATTAGACACGGGATCTTCCCGTCCCACTTTGTTTGTAAAGTTGCCATCAGGCCGGACATTGGGGAAAGGCACAATGCACAGTGAGGCGCCCAACTCCCCAGGAAGCCAACGCGGGAGGTCCTCTGGCCTCGATAGTGCAGGGAGTTAGACCACATGATCACATGGGGTCTCTTCTGGCCAACAGCTCCCTGCCATGTCTGTGAAAAGCTCCTCCTACACATCTAAGGTGGAATCCGCTCCCGCACAGGAGGTCTGCACATGGACCAAGCAGGACTTTGGTTGACTGTTACGACATCTAAGCCTCCTGCTAACTCTGAGTAGGGGGAGTTTCACCCTTTAGATCAAATTAACCGCAGATGTAAAATTGGTGTAATTGTTACCCCAGGGGAGCTACATGGACTTACACCCGCTGAACAGCTGACCCTTAAACTTCCAGTTGTCTCTTTTGTCAACTCAGCTCCCTCCCATTTCTCAGTGCCAAGTCAGAAGCTTTGGGCAGCAGCATCCTCCCGTTAGAAATAAATTCACTTCCTGCAAAGTGGCTGAATTAGCATCCTGCCTACCCAGAGCCCAATTAACTAAAGGGGAAAAAAATTAATTACCCAACTTGGCCACGCAGCATACAGCAAATATTCTGGAACACTATAAATAATTCACAAAAGCCCTTAGCGTACAAATTGCTTTAGAACTAAACTGTTTTTTCACTGTGGAGGGGCGGCATTAAAAATTAACTGCACAAAGGTTATTAGAAACACACACTGGATGCAATTCATTTATTTATTTATTTACGTATTTATTTATCAAAAAGGGCCATCTGCTAAGATGGAGCCAGCCTCAGAGGCTACATTCTTAGGAAAGAGGCTGCAGTTACCTTCTGCGTGATGTCAAGTGCTTTGTACAACAGCCAGAGAGCCGCACAGCTGAACAAGGCATTCCAAAACAGGTCCCCGCCTCCCTCAAGATGCTGCTCTTCAAAGGCGCAAACAACAAACTTAGCTGTATCACTGCCCTTCCTGCAGCCCTTTGCTAGGAACTGACTGCACAGCAAAAGCTGCGAGTCAGTTTGATGTGATTATTACTAGAGTTTGGCATCGGTTTGCAGCGCACCACAGTAATGATATTGTCACCCCGCTCATTCTTATTACGCATTAGGGACACATTTAAACGGTTAACCAACAAGCCTGGGCTAATCAGTTAACCTTCACAGTTATACATAAGGCCCTCCCTCCATGCTGCTGCCTCTGTATCAGAGGCAGCAGCATGGGGTGGGGAGGAGGAAGAGGAAGCGGGTGCTCACAGGGATCCAGCTTTTAAGCAGGCTCCCTGCAAGCACCTGCTCCTGGGAAGCCACCTTCCCCCCCACCCTATGCTGCTGCTGCCTCTGATACAGAAGCAGCAATGAGGAGGGGCAGGCAGGAGCCTGTAAATGCAAGGAGCTGGTTTAAATGCGAGCTCCCTGCTCACACAGAGCTACATGCCTCCCCCCCCCACAGTGCTGCCTCTACATCAGAGGCAGCAGTCGGGGGAAGGGCAGACAGAAGACATCTGCCTTCCCATATGCCCCCCATGTGTAAAAGTGTAACTGCCAAAAATTTCAGTGGTTACATGTTTACAAAACCCCCTTCATTTTAACATCCCTATTATGCATCATATACTTTTGTAAGGTTTTAAAAAAATCCCTAAATGCATCACTCTTGGCATGGCTGGGAATGAGATGCTAATATTCTCAGACTCACTCCATGTTCATGGGCCATCTGAGGTAAGTTAGTAGAGAAAAGTGAGGCAGATTGGTTCATAAAACCAGCAGTAATGAAGCAGTGGCTAAATCTGCGATGGGGTGAGTTTCTAATGCGCCAGCTTCAGGGCTAGTACTTAGAAAGGGGGGCGATAAAGATGCAGTTGCCTTTCTTTGAATGTTCCGGTTACAGCTCTGAGCTCTGAACTCCAGCAGACAATAAAACGTTCCCGTCTGCTGCTGAACGGCTCTAAAGAGGATCATTAAACGTGGGCTGCTTACAGCTGTGACAGCCTGATAGCAAAAGGCAGCAGAGGCTAGTTTCTCTAAGAATGTTTAATCAAGGTGCTCACAGCCTGGGCCCAAGATATCTAAAAGATCAACTAAAGCCCCAGGGTGAAGATTGTGATCAACACACACTGGGATTTTCCACGGTAAGGGGAAATAAAGCTCATTGGGGTAGGAGACAGAGCTTTCTCGGGAGCCGGCCCAAATCCATAGACCCTGGGGACGAAGAATCCAAACCTCTCCTCCTTCCCCTCAGTGCCAGGCACAGTTCCTTGCCCCGCCTCCTCTCACAGACAGAGCGACACACATGGCTCTGTCTCAAAACAGGACTATGCAGCACTTTAAAGACTAACGAGATGGTTTATTAGGTGATGAGCTTTCATGGGCCAGACCCACTTCCACAGATCAAATAGTGGAAGAAAATTGTCACCACCATATATACCAAAGGATACAATTTAAAAAAAAGTGAACACATATGAAAAAGACAAATCAAATTTCAGAACAGAAGGGGAATGGGGGGAAAGGTAAATGTCTGTGAGCTAATGATATTAGAGGTGTTAACTGGGGAAGCTATCTTTGTAATTGGTAAGATAATTAATGTCTTTGTTTAAACTTAGGCGTAAAGTGTTGAATTTAAGCATGAATGTCAGTTCAGAGGATTCTCTTTCCCCCTTCTGTTCTGAAATTTGATTTGTCCTTTTCATATGTGTTCACTTTTTTTTTAAATTGTATCCTTTGGTATATATGGTGGTGACAATTTTCTTCCACTATTTGATCTGTGGAAGTGGGTCTGGCCCATGAAAGCTCATCACCTAATAAACCATCTCGTTAGTCTTTAAAGTGCTGCATAGTCCTGTTTTGAGACAGAGCCATGTGTGTCATGCATCATTTAAAAAAATCCAAACCATAAAACAAAATAAGTCTGCTCAACTGCACACGCTTCTCCTCTGGGAGATGGGGGAGGGAAGGAGAACAGAACAGATGTTAGTCATGTAGCTTGATGCCCTAACTGGAAGGTGCTCGGATACCCCAGAGAATGTGAATTGTCAAAATAATGTTGCCGATGAAATTCCTTTCTGTTCGTCTGTCTGTCTGCTTCTCAAAGCTGTGATTCTTTCCAAGTTAAGAAAATTCTACAAATGTTGCATCCAATGCAGAAGTAAAGGTACCTCTATCGATATAACACAGGCCATCCAACGTCATGGGGGGGGGGCTATCTTGCTGTACTGTACTTGTGCAATACAGATTGAACCTCTCTAGTCTGGCACCTCGGGACCTGACAGGTGCTGAACCAGAGAATATACCAAACCATGGGAGGTCAATGTTGTCTAGCAGCATTACCAACCCTTCCACTGTTTGCTGAGCTCCTAAGATGACATTTATGGTTAAAATAGGGCTAAATAACAGCACAGAACACTGACAGCTGGGACCGGTGGCTGTAAATAAACTTTATGGGACTGCGGGAAACTTGGCCACACGCATGATAAGTGGACATCTGGCTAACTAAAATCAAGCCGGACCACGCATGTTGCCAGACCAGAGAATGCCGGACTAGAGAGGCTCAACCTGTACTTTTATTTGTTATTCATGGAATGGATTTCCAGAGGCAACAAAAGGAAGCTAGGTGTTAAGTGCCTAATTGCCACTGAAAGTCAGGTTAAGCTGGAGCATAACTGCTCTTGCGTATTTGAATATCTACTCCCCCAGCTGGCCCAATTGGTGCAGGAGCTCCTGTAATAAGAGTTTTGTCCAATGATCATGTTTTGACTTTGACTCAAAGAAGCCAAGATTCAAGGGTGGGAGAGAGGGAGAAAAAAAAAGAGATTTAGGCTCTTTTAGGTTAGACCATTAATACTCTGGAAAGCCAAAATGGATTATCAGCTTTTCTTCTCCTCGCTTCTGTGGATTAACTCGAGTCAGTGAACCACAAATGAGTTGCTAGAGCTTTTCTCCTTCTTTCGGATGGCTCAAAACACCCTCTTTTGGGGCGTACTGGAGACAGCGTGTTCCCCACACCACACTCGGATACTGTGCTGACGGAGGCTGTAGCCAACTCTTTTCCGTGGGGCATGAAGA